CGATGTAATCAAACTTGGGGACCCTAGTAACGTTTTAAAATTTTTTCTGTTATCTTGTATCTTGGATTTTTATATATTTTTATACCTTTCGCAGTGGAGATTTTGGGACCTTGGCATTACCAATTTTACTGGGGAACTCGGAGGTACGTACCACTTACTTACAACAAAGGATAAGTATTGCTATACAACGTGGCAACGCAGCCAGTGTGATAGGGACGCTTCCAACTGCGATCCCCATGGAAGAAATTTATTATTATGAATTTTTAATCTTCAGAAATATTTAATTTTTAGGCATATAAATGATGTAAATCTGCCAAAAAAAAAAAAAAAAAAGAAATAGGATATATCAAATTAAAATGCAAGATAGAATCAAAACATCAGGAAGAAACAAGCGACAACTCCTTTTACGTCGTAAAGACTACCAACATTCGCGATAATGAAAACTCATTTTATTTCTTTTCATAAACCATTTAGACATATTGCCGCTAATACCTAGGGAAGTGGATTTTAATTCACTTTATTTTTATGTGGCATGGACACAGCAGTTTTTTCATCCCATAGTATACGTCATGCGTCTACAAGTAGGCCAGTAGTAAGGGAGTCAATTTTAGATTAATCGCAGGTTGGTCTGAAAACTCGCAAAAATTTGTAGTTTTATGATCTCCTACTGTCTTCAAACCTTGAAGCTTTTCAGTTTAGTGTTCTTGAGTAACCTACTCTTTCTTACCTTGTTTAAATATTGGTTACTTATCTGAGTATCCCTTGTACGAATTCTTGTTTTTACCGCAACAGTTTTCTTTAAACATCTACATATTTATCACTCGGAAGAGAGCGGAATACAATTAAATGATTAAACGAACTTACCTTAGTGAAGTTCAATCATAATTGTATGAAGATCTCTTCCGAGTGATAAGGTCCCACCCTCACCTACCCTGTGTTGCGGTATATAATAGTTGCTTTCAAATCAATGGCGTATTGCATTAGCGTAGATCACGTAGAGACCTGCCTTACCTACATTTTTTCTTT